CAAGCCCTCGCCCAGAGTCTGGTGCTTTTCAGCGTGTCCACCACGACTCTGACTTCTGCTCTCTCCGCTCTAACGTATGTGGCTATTCCATCGGCGGGTGTGTATGAGTCCTGTACGCTTGCCGCCGTGGGTTTGATTTACTCTATGCGTCGCCAGCAGAAGAGGTGGGATGTCGCCCGTACTTTCTGGGAGGAGGAGGTCCGCGAGGAAGGTCGCACCTCGCTGCTGGAAACTGAAGTTGCTCTTCGCGGTATTGTACGGGATGGCGGCAAGACTGTTGAGGATTTATCTGATACCCGTGCACGAAAGTCCGTTGCAAGAGCGAGAAAGGCTTTGGAAGACGTGAAGGTGTAATCTGCGCTATACAACCATCGAATCATGTACTGTATATGTATTGCCTTTTTAGGATAGAGTTCTAGAGCTGCAATGTCTGATATGTATGATATTGAACCATATGGCCATCTACCGCGTTCCAAGGTTAGGATCCCGTTTAGGAAACACATGTGTACATCAGACCCGTAAATCTCCACAATGCATTTTGGTTCTTTTGGTTGCGAAACAGCCTTGGGAACTCCGTACAAGAAAACCTTATGCAACTAACGAAAATGGAATGTGGCACTCTCTACTCCCGTAGACCAAGGGCTATTTAGAATCTTCGAAGAGATTCGAACCAATATATCTTGTACATCCGAACATGATTTGCTCCACAGCCGATCTTAATACTAAATAATGCAATCCTTCTATACTCAAGTGCCGGTGAGCTAGAACACTAAAAAGCTTCGCATCTTCATGGACAGATGTAAGATCTGAGACACGGAGGTACAGAGAGTGTTGGATCGGGTCATTGCAGGGAGAATATGTTACATCTCAAACGGTATGGTCTAATCTGAGTATAGTCCGTACTAAAGTTGACCATATATATCTCAACTCCGATAGGATGAAATAAACAATCTCTTATAGATCATTATACATATGTTTCATATTGGGCGCAGCACCAATCTTTATACCGGTAATTGCAAATTTCCCCTATCGAATCCCAAATAGGGGGCGATATAATTTCGAAGTTTCATATTGCGCCACTTAAGCCAATCCCCAAGCCCAACGTGGGTCACTAAGATGGGTCTAGTGGTTTAGTCCAGGAACGCGCCGTTCGTTTCAGCGTCTCAGATATCGACGGAAACTCCACAGAACCTTTATCTCTCTAACTCCTCTGTTTTTCCCTCTGGCGCCAATGCCGGAATTCCTAGATTAAGCCCCCCAGGATGGTTGCTCATTTTAATTTCGGATGAACACCCAATCGTAGTAAGGGATGTAGAGAGGCTCAGACTACTGTTCTAATGCCAACGAGTCCCCAGCCTGCTTAATATCCTAGATATCAAGGGATTGGCCGACTCATTAAACTCAGGCCCCTCTCCAAGCACTAAAGGGGGATTGGCGCCTCATTAATGAAGGCCTCCATTTTTTTTGACCTTTTCCCGCCTTGAAGTACTTGATCCCCGTGGGCTGCTCCTTAATTCCTTTGCTCTTCTGCGTTTTTCACTCTTTTGCCCTATCTCAGGGTCTGTCACTCATTACTCTTGTCGCTCATTTACTATTTTGATTCTTTTATTTTGAAATTCAAAGTGAGTTCTTCTTTTGGAGGCGTTTTTGAATTGAAAATAGAGTTGAGGCTGATATACGCATCTTCAGGGATATCCTTTGTTTACTGACGTCAGGAGAAACGCGTTTGATCGGTAAGTCGCATATTTACCCTTCTCTCAAATATCCCTACGGGGGAAGTGGTGTACCAACCCGGCAAGCAAGGGGTCATTCCTCTACCCTTGTATCGGAAGGGAGCATCGATATAAGATTGCTAGGACGATCGATTGGACTCCTCGGAGTCTTTTTCGATCGATGTACCTGTGATGTCTTGACTTCACATCCAACTAACATACTGCTCAGTATCTACACTCACTCGCACTTTTCTTCACGCCTAACCGGTTGATTCGGTACTCCTGGCGAGTCTGTCATTTACAATTCCCTGAGATTATTCATTCGTTTTAAGCCCGTCGACACGGCTCAACCGCCAACATGCAGGACATTCGACTGACAGCCATTGCGATGGCCTGTCTTGCGCTATTCCCAAGCTATACAACTGCTTTCTGGCGTCTTCCTTGCCGTGGAAGATCTGGTCTCGCCCGTATTGACCCCATTGTAGAGCCAGGCAAGGCCTCGTCTCACGCCCATGCGGTCCATGGAGCTGGAGGTAACGCATTATCCTAATTAGAACTTGTTCTATGCATGTGCTGACTTGTGGTTAGGCTTTGGCATGAGCTCCAGTCAGAGCGAGCTGCTCGAATCTGATTGCACCTCGTGCGCAGTGACTGAAGACAAGTCTGCTTACTGGGCTCCCGCTCTGTACTTCATGCACACCAACGGCAGTGCCCAGGTAGTTGATGAGGTTGGAGGCATGCTTGCGTAAGTCAGATTTTTGGCTCTCGCAGTGAGAATCTGCTAACACTCGACCAGCTACTACCTTCTGTATGGACAGGATATCAAAGCTTTCCCAGATGACTTCCGCATGCTGGCAGGTGACCCCTTCCAGCGTAACTTCACCTGGCCCGTTCCCGACCCTCCCAAGTCCGAGTGGTCTGGTGCCCAGGCCTCGCAGGCTGCTTTGCGCCAGAAGGCCCTTGGTTTCAACTGCTTGAACTATGAGAAGACCCCAGAAGACTCCCTCAAACGCCACCACCTGCCCGACAAGGAGTACCTTGATGCGCATTGCACCGATGGAATCCGATTTGAGTTGATGTTCCCATCTTGCTGGAATGGCAAGGATGCCGACTCCCTCGACCACAAATCCCACGTCGCATACCCATCTCTTGTTATGGATGGTACCTGCCCCGAGGGTTTCGAAACTCGCCTTGTATCGCTCTTCTACGAGACTATTTGGGACACATACGCTTTCAAGGGCGTCGATGGATATTTCGCACTCGCCAACGGTGATCCCACTGGATACGGATACCATGGTGATTTCATGCACGGTTGGGAGGATGGCGTCCTACAGGAGGCCATTGAGACTTGCACCAGCGAGACAGGTATCGTTGATGAGTGTGAAGTCTTCACCATTCAGACCGAAGATGAACAGCGTCAGTGTGAGTTCTCCATTCCATCCGAGATCAAACACGAGAATTGCCACATGCACGACGACGGATTGCCCGGCGGCATGCCTGTCGAGTGGGGCCCAGAACGCGCCGTGATGAAGCACGCTGCAACCACCACCGCCAATGTGATTACGCTTCCCACCATTTCCATTGCTGGTATCTCGATCGATCCCAACACTTTGCTTGACAAGTTCCATGCGACCAGCACTGCGGAGCCTACTGCCGAAGCTACTACTGCTTTCACTTCCACTTCGACTCCCTCGCCAACCCCGACCCCCGTCACATCTACTGTTATCGATCCCATCACAGAAGAGATCATCTATCTCCAACGTGATGTTGTCGTCCTCTGTGATGAGAATGGCGACACGTACTCGACTAGCACTGGCCCCATCCGGACTGTTTCTTCTACCATTACTACCATTATGGAAACCTCTACCGCCGTTTCCTACGTGAAGAAGGACACTGTTCTGGAACCTGTGGAACCGGTGCAGGCTGCTGGCCACGCCCGCAGACATCTTCATCACCGCCACGGACACAACTAGGTTTAACAACCTCCGTTGTGGGTGTTTGGAACCCAATGCGCAAAGTTCGCGCGTTCTCCTTTCTGTCACCTTGGCCGAGAGGATATACCCCATGCTTCTACCTCAAGTTGAACGTTGAACTTGCTGGATTGTACCCCCGGGAGCTTTGATTCATGTAAATTTATTTTGTTCCGATTGTTGGACATCCTCTAGTCAGTCGGGGAGGGTGTGCATTGACCATATTGTCGTTCTCGTGATAAAATTTTAAATAGTCCTGGCTGGTACACAATTTAACCGCATTGGTCGATAAGAATCTGGTGTATGTAAAACATACAAGCCTCTTTACTATTCTAAACATCTAAACCTTGTCATCTTAGTTATCCCCTGTCCTCGTGTGACATCATATCAATGGGACAGCAGCAATGTACAACGTAGGTCTCACACTCCACCTCTCGCAAATTAAATCATTTACCTATGTTTCATCTCAACTCAACCTCTCAGCAGATGTCTCGGCAACTCCATGCAAAGCAAAAACCAGGCTACCTTCGAACAGTGCGCAACGGTCATGCTGTACATACTCCGTGCGACATCCCGTGGGACAGATGGGACATAACGAGCGACGAGACCATCAATTCCAAGACAGAAGAACAAAAATTGCATTGTAGGTGACAATGTATGAGGATATTTGAATCTTCTCTACCACTGAGAACTATCCAACTTCCTCAATTACAGACATGTCAAGTCAGCGTCGCAACGATGCATACCAACTGTCTTGCATTAGTGTCTCTCCCCCGAGCCACCTCTCCGTGTAGCACTATGCGCAACATGGGCACCAATTCTCCGCTCCAGTGCTGTCATTCAAAGACCCTGTTTTACGTGGCCAATCAAGTGACATCGCTAGTCTCTTACTCTATTACTGAGAATAGGTTTCTAGGTCATGGACTACCCGAAGAAGGATATCTTGCTTCGTTGACGAGGGGTAAGCTACTATTTTTATAGGTCTATGCAGACCTAGGCTGTTGAAGCATTTGGAAATCGTATTCTCAGACTAGTAAGTTATCGATATCTATGAAAAGGGTTGCACGCACTCCTTACGCGAGGTAGTATGAGCTAAACTTCGCTGTCTCTGATGCGTCAACGAATCTATCAGCCAAGCTAAGTGAATCCCAAATCTCAAGAGCCCAAATTAGGCCGCCCTCGATGTTGGATTTATGTCAATATAAAAAAACAAGATCCAGCTCTAGGCTCCGAAGGGAAGCTCACAACAATAGCACCCCTATCACAATCCTGGTATCAAGTTTATTTATACCTACCAATGAACCTTGACACTCTCATAATGGAATCCCTCCACCGAGTCTACCTCTTTCTCGCATTCTTCCTCTCGGCCACAATGGCTATCCCTCAACAAACTGCCTCGATCACTATGACTGCAGCTCCAGCGGTGATCACCCAAGGCCCCGAGCTCAGATGCGCCCAGGGCCAAATCGCCGTCTACACGACAGACTGTACATTGGGGACCCCAGTGTCATATTGTTTCAGCCAGGAGCCTCCAATTGAGTGCGCACAGGGATTCTTCCCGTCAGTTTGGCATCCAGATCATTGTATGGAGCAATCGAGCTGTTTCCCGCTCAGCGAACCGTGGATTACCACCTCATGCTCGAATGGGGCTATTCCGTATTCGACATCGACCATATACCAGGGCACCTTGGTGGGGGGCAAATCGACTGTGATCAGGGGTAGGTTTGTTTGTTTTTCGATACCTTTGTTCCTATTATCTCACGAGATAAATGTTAAGCGCCGAGGCTAATTTGAATGTTATCGACTCTTGTAGCTGTCTCCTGCTCCTGTGCTGCATACCAATGGTACAGCATGACCCTACTACCAGGCTCGTCGAACTATGATACCTTCTGTATGCCATACAGTTCCTGTCCACGGGGTATGACGACCTCCATCTCGGTTAATGAGTACTGCGCCACTCAGTCGGGCGTTTGTTCGGATATCCCTTTGGAAACTGAGTTTTGTAAATGTGCCAATGCGGCGCAGACTCCGGTCTATCCTGACTGGCCTGGTGCTAATCCAACTGGATGTGAGTTTTGAAGTTATGGCGATATCTGTACTTTTGACTTTCTTAATGGATGATTAATGTTACTGGGAAGTGGGGATGAAAGAATCAAGTAACGTGTCTGAAATAATGAGTGATATATTGCACCATTTGATTCTACACATTTCGTGATTAGCCTGAAGCACCACTGCCCCAGTTTTATGGGAAGGTCCAAGCTGGCGGCGTCCCAATCGGGAAATGGCAAGTTCCGCCTTTACCGGTGTTAACTTAACCCCGCATCGTCTATAAAGTCTGTCTACTCTGCTTGCTTTACTTCATCTCACCTTTGAATTTAACAATGTCTAATACTCTACCTGAAATGCAATACCGGTTCCTCGGTAGAACTGGCCTGAAAGTCTCAGTAATCTCGCTGGGTAGCTGGCTCACATATGGCGGACACGTGGGGAATGGTATGACCCTCTCTACCAATAGAATTAACCAAAGCTAATAAACCACAGAAACCGCCCTTGAATGTATGAAAGTTGCCTACGATGCCGGCGTCAACTTCTTCGATACCGCTGAGAAATACTCCGACGGACAATCGGAGATCGTACTCGGAGAGGCAATCAAGAAATTCGGCTGGAAGCAAAACGACCTCGTCATTTCCACCAAGGTATGTCCAATTTCCATCCAGTTTCTTGCCCCCACTAACCCATTTCCAGATCTACTGGGGCAGTGCCAACGGTGCCAACCCAGACAGACCACTCAACAATAACGGTCTCTCTCGCAAGCACATTATCGAGGGCATGAACTTCTCTCTGGAACGACTAGCGCTGCCTTATGTAGACATTGTGTACGCACACCGCCCAGACCGCGACACACCCATGGAAGAGATCGTTCGTGCCTTCAACTACCTCATTGACAACGGCAAAGCCTTCTACTGGGGAACCTCGGAATGGTCCGCGAGTGAGATTTCCGACGCCTGGCGCATCGCCGATAAACTCGGTCTTGTCGGTCCTGTTGTCGAGCAGCCGCAGTATAACCTCCTCGTGCGCGAGCGTGTGGAGAAAGAATACCGCTGGTTATATGAGGCGCACGGACTCGGTCTGACTGTGTGGTCGCCGTTGAAGGGCGGTGTCTTGACGGGCAAGTATAATCATGCTGCTGCTCCTCCGCCTGGGTCGCGGCTGGCAGAGTCGGAGGATGTATATGTGAAGGGTCTGCGGAAGACTGTTGGTGATGATACCTGGCAGCGTCAGCTGGATCAGGTTGCGGCGCTGGAGCCTGTTGCTAAGGAACTTGGGGTTTCGACGGCGCAGTTGGCGCTTGCGTGGATTTTGAAAAATCCGAATATCTCGTCTATGATTACGGGTGCGTCGAGGCCGCAGCAGGTTCTTGATAATATTCGGGCTTTGGAAGTGGTAGAGAAGTTGACGGATGAGATTGTTGAGAAGATTGAGGTCGCTGTTGGGAATAAGCCTGCTGTTGAGTCTAGGCGGTTTTAGGTATTTTCTGTTGAGACAAATAGTGTGGGATGCGTGACTTATAGAGATATACATGCCCATAGATTCCGTTTGTACAATCCAGCAGCTCTCAAGTCCAAACCGGTCGATATTTTACATAGCAAAAAGGAATACCGAATTGAACTTGACATTGTTGATCTCAAGTAGCTCAAGAGGTTGTTTAAATTAAAGTCGTCTTTGTACCCATGTATGTAGTCGACCCTGGGTATAGACATCGTTTTGTGGTTTTATCCAACGAGAGAAATGAAGTCTGGATCTTCTTCATGAAGAATCCATTGACAATTGAGTTTATTAGAATTTGTCCAAGCTTGATCCATACCTGATGAACCAGGAAAAGACACGCGAGGTCCCTGCCTCAATTTCTTCCCCCATTTACCACCCAACAGTGACAGAGTAGCTGCCATCAGAGTGGCTGTGGGCCTCAAACTGAGACTCACCAACACAGTCACCGTACTCATAAGGATCACTCACGGCTCCAGAGTAACCCTTGGAGATAGGGGCACCGAAAATAACCGAGTGCTTAGGCACATCCGAGCAAACATGCTCCTTCTTGTCATCGTTCCAGCCGTACAATTCAACAAAGCCCATCTGGGAGCTCTGAATACCCTTCGATCCAGCAGGAAGAGTGTAAGAGCCGATCTGAGTGCTGTTCCCCTTAACAACATCAACAAGAGTCCCGACCCACTTCGTTCCCTCGGTATTCTTGATGTGAAGCTGGTATTGGTGCTCGAAAGAGCTAACGATCTCAACAGCGCAGCTCACGCCAGCACCGCCGTCAGCACCGTCACTGCAGTTAGGGTCGTCGGAGGTTGTGCCCTCATTGAAGCTGGAGAAGACTCCGTGGATGACGGGAAGGCCATTGTCGTTGGGACGGGGCTGCAAACCGGTGTAGCCGACGTTGTCTTGGTTGACGAACCCGAATTGCTGGGCAAAGTAGAAGCCGCCTTCGTGGGGAGAGCCGGAGATGTCCATTGGGAAGTAAATCTCACTCAAGCCTGCGTCGGTGACGTTCTCCACGGACCAGCCGATGCCGACCATGCCGCCACCCTGGGCTGCGGCGGATTGGAGGAAGGGGAGGGCGAAGAGGAGGGATTGAGAGAACTTCATGTTGGTGGTTTGAGAGGATTGGGTGTGTGGAATAACATCCTTAGTTGGGTTGTTTAAGGGCCTTTATATAGGTTTGTGGTATTTACGGAGTAGCTTGCACTTTGAGAGTTGATAAAGACGAAACACTGAAGCGTTTATTTTAAATGATGATCTGCAAACTTTTTGTCTTCTGATGCCGCCCATTCCTGGGGTTACAATAAACGTCTCTGTGCTTTATTCATTCATGTCTATCATACGGTGAGTTGCAATTTAATATATTAGGCACTTCATGTTTTCTCTCCTTTTTTTCCCATATCGAGCCCATGGTAAATCTAGCCACGTCGGGGCAGTTCACATCTACATGCCGAATATCAAAACTCGAGTTTAGCTCGACGTCTACACTACAATCTTGCCCAGGTGAAAATGTAAGGGTCCTATATAGAAAGACACATGGATATGCCGAAGTTCCAAGGCTTGGAATGCGCTGTGTGGGGTTAAATAAGTGGGACTTGATCGTTCATAAAATCCTTGGAACTGTCAAGGTTGAGATCTGATCTAAATCCCATATAAATTACCCCTGCCCCTGTAACTATATTATGCAGGTACGTGTGCAAATATCCAGCACATCCCACGTGGAGTACTTTATACGTTCCCCTGTAATAGTCTCATTGCTGGAGCCATATACATCGCGGAGAAAGGATTGCGCACTCTGTGAACCACATAGACATCACGGAGACAAGTAGATTCGAATGTCGACAATATACCCAACAAAAAGCGTAGATACAAGTCCAAAAGTGGAATGTCCCTGAATATCACTAGTTTCAGTTCGCGCTAAAGCGAATTTTTTCCGACCCGTCTTCTTCCTAGGTTGGCATGCGATTCGCTGATCCCCACACTGTATGCATCTAAAATGCCGATCGGGCGTTTTTATATAATCTCCAACTCGATCTGGTGTCATTTAGATTAACTATTTACATTAAAACATAAGTTTCGTTGAGTGATGGAACCCTGCGATACCCCATAGTGACGTGTGCCCGCGTGGACCTGTAATTGTTTGAAGGATTGGACTGATTTGGCTTTTAGATATGCTGTGTCCTTAAATGACTAGTTCTATCCAAGTAGGGGCTCTACGATGTAAGATCTTGTTTCAAGTCACACTGTTTGGATGTGAAAAATTAAAATGAATGGTCAGGGCGCTGAAGGAATGTCACCATTGAATACTACGCTATATTGAGGCAGACATGGGTGTAGATGATCAAGTAGTATGTCATGCTACTGTCTAATTATGGATAGCTTGGCGAGCCTTAAGACATGTCGCTGAAGGCCGGAAATTGGCTGACTTCTAATCAACACGATAGTGCGCGTTAGAGACTGTAATGATACAACCTAAGAAGAAGAGCACCAGTGTCTTCAGGGAAAGTAGTCTCATAGGAATCTCTGCTCGAAGTCCATGAATCCAAGGCAATAGTACTATCATTTTCTTTTTTGTTCAGCCTCAGGTACCTATTACACTAGAAGGAATATCGAAAAGACTAGGTTTTAAAATCGCAGACTTCAACTGTCCAGTAGCTGCCAAAACTTTAAGCCTTCCCTGTTGTTATTTTCCTCATGATGGTTTCTCTGACATATATATAGTGAGCACTCCGCAAACCTCAACCTTCACCAGCTCGCCACATACCTCCGCAATAAACTCGACTTTCCCACCCAACCCTCGATTTCAATTATCATCATTGACATAATTATGAAACACATCTGCATAAAAAATCCGCCCTACATCACGATGACTCCGAATCTTCGTGCGCAATTGTGACTCACCCCAAGTATCATACCTGCCCCTCAAAAAGGCCGAGTCAACACTCGCACCCTCCGACGCCTCTAGTGCTATCTTTTGCATAGCAAAATGACTATTCAGAGTCCCGACCGCCTCCTCCTTTGTCAGACTTCCCCGAACACCCTGAAAAAAGGGCACACTATATCTCTCCGACAGACCTGACAACACACGATGTGTCGTCGCCTTACACACACCATGAGTAACCACCTCAAAAGCCTGTCCGATATTTACAACGAACGTATCTTCAATGACAGGGACATCGATCCATTCACCTGTCTTGTTGAGAGCTTGTAAACCCTTCACGGTTGGAGGTGATGCTTGGAGAAGAAATGTCCACCATCCAGAAGAATCTTTGTGAGGGCCCACACCTTGAATGTTGGGATCTGAACTAAGATCTGAGGCGGGATAATGGACTAGCTTGAGACGATGCTGTTCCGAGAGGAATGCGAATAGAGTCTCGGGGTCTAGGGAGAGTGCTTCAGCCACCAAGCGCAAGAATCGCTCGCTGAGATTTGTTAATTCGTGAATATATTTCTGGATGACGATCCGAAGAGATGGGTCTTGGGACGGCCACTGTTGTTTATCAGCATAACTTCTGAGTCAGACTGATGCGCTGGGTGGGATAGGGGTTGCTGTACCTGATTCGGTCCTTTTAACCTTTCATAAAGAGGAAGACCCACGCGCCATAAGTCTGGGAGCTCGGTTGCAAACTCGAATTGTTCGCGTTTATCTGCGACTCCGGCTGTTGTTTCTGAGCCTACTTGGCTGTATCCCAGAAAATGAGGGGAGTTGTGTAAAGCCACTTCTTCTTTTTCGGCCGGATCGAGGGCAAATAGTGTGGGGAGGGCATGTTTGAGGTCTGAGATTACGTCTTGTGGAACATCGTGATTCGTGATATACAGGAACCCAATGGAGGTGAGGGTGTGGTGGAGTTCTTGGAGAAGCTTGGGCCGAGTTATGGGTGACTTGGCGAGGGATAGGTCGATGACCGGGATAGATTTGAAGTTGGATGTCATTTTTAGGTGCCAACAGAAAGTGGCAGGGAAGTGGCTTTAAAGGCAAGATAGAGCTATGGCGTTTACTCTACCCCACGTTTCTGCGGGGTAAATCGGGAAATTAAAAGTCGACTCTTATTCTTTGAATATCTAAACACACTTTCCACCATCCACCACCATCTCAGTGCCGTTGATGAAACGAGCCTCGTCACTAGCCAGGTAAAGGCACATGTTGGCGATATCATCCACATCGGTAAGGCGGCCCAGTGGCACATTTCCGATAAACTTCTCTCGGTTCTCGGGGGTATCTTCGATACCAGTGAACATGGAGAACAGTCCAGTACCAGAAAGAAGAGGAGCGACAGTGTTGAATCGGATATTGTGGGGACCGTACTCCGCGGCGAGACCTTTGGTGGCCTATATAGATGAATTGTTAGCAATCCATTTTTCATCCAGACCTTCCAATATATAGCACTCACATTAGTAACTGCCCCCTTAGTGGCATTATACCAGACCAATCCAGGTCGGGGTCGACTCGCTCCGGTGGAGGAGATGTTGATCACCGAGCCACCCTGGCCCTGTTCGATGAAACGCGGCATCAGGGCCTTTGTAGCGAGATAAATGCTCTTCACGTTAACCTTGAACACGCGCTCCCACTCCTCCTCTGTAACCTCTGCCGTCGGCTGATAGAAATTAGCGATGTCTCACACCTTGGAATAGATGAAGCTTACCTTGTTGCGATAAGTAGTGCCCGCATTGTTCACTAATATATCCAGTCGCCCAAACTTGGAGAATGCCAGATCCAAGACCATATTCCAGTCTGATTCCTGTGTGACATCTTGACGCTGGAAGATAAGATTTGATGGATTCTGCGCGGCGACTTTCTCGCCGCCTTCAACGTTGATATCGGTAACGATCACTTTAGCACCCTCTTCGCCGAATCGTCGAGCGATAGCTGCACCAAATCCAGCACCTCCGCCTAAGCATAAGAGGGGTATTAGCATCCATAACGGAATGGGTTTTGGAATAACTTACCGGTGACGATGGCAACCTTGCCTTGTAGTCTTGAACCTTGAGACATCTTGGAGTTCGAGAGTAAGTGAGTAGAATAGTTAGAATACTAGAAAAGAATAAGTCCCTTTAAATGTCCAAACCGAGGGGTAATTCGGAGTGAAATCCGCTTCCCCGCATGTATACTGGAGGGCAGGGAAACATCTTGTATAGTCCCCACCTACGGGCATTCCCCGATGATCAACTAACCCCCTTACAGTAGGCAATCAAGAGAAAAAAAAAATCAACTTGGAAAATTATTCTCTTACTTATCATGCTTTTCCTTCTCTTTAGTCTGTTTCTTCCTGCTATTGCGGATTCAACAACCAATGTCAGTAATGCCTGCTATGGTTCTAATGTGATCTCGGCACCTTCAGCGGATCATCGCCCTGTGCCATGGGGTACTCCGAGTGTCCATTTTTCATTAAATGGCACAACTATGTGCTGTGATTCTTTAGACGAGATCCGCACCGCGCTCGATGATATTGATGATGAAATACTCGATCTCCTAAATCGGCGGTTTGTACTCCGTGTTCCGTACCCTCTCTGATTTGCCCGGGATGTTCCATGAAAAAAATCGGGCCCAACATCAACAAATAGGTTTAGTTACATTGACATTAACATCTTAACTCATATAGAGCAGCGTATGTCCGTGAGGCCACTAGGTTCAAATCCACACGCGCTTCTGTGAATGTTCCCTCGCGCAATGAGGCCGTCCTCAAGCAGGCAGAGCAGCAGGCGGTGGATATTGGGGTGCCAGTAACCATTGCCCGGGCGGCTATGGGGGCCATTCTGAACTCCAGCGTGCCTTTTGAAGAGTGCATTGTAAGTGAACTTAGTAGGTTCATTCGATCTAAAGCTAATCCTCCAGTTTGATGCCTATAATCAGAGTTAACATAAATGGCCCCCACCACAACGTCGGGGGTCAGTTCCCAAGAGGGAAGCTGGTTGTCATATGTTGGTTTAGGTTAGGGCTAGAATGAATCCTTCGAGAATTGTTAATTAAAAAACATGATATTGCTATTCCTCCAATAGCAAACTTGAAGAAACACACTATATTCAGCCCCTACGCGTGGACCGTTAACGCTAGAGTCGAGCTAAGAGCTTTTAAGCGTCAAACTCCCGATACATAGTGCAAAAGTGTTTTTTTGACTCAATTGTTGAGAACAATTTTAATATGAAAAAAATGACCAAGACCAGAAGCTATTGGCCAAGAGCAGATGCGTTTTGCCGTTAGCGCCCCTCCAAATCCAAAGCCTTGGATATTCTTTTCCTTATAACATCCACTATGATTAAGTGACGAGCTTTCCAAGTGTCCATGTCTCACTATTTTATCTCCGAGTCTCGCGCCCGATGGAGATACGCACGGGTGCACCGTTGTCGGACACGTCAGATACACAACCCGAACGAAAACGAGTCCGCCGATGGCATCACCGAGGATTTACAGGGTGTTCCACCTGTCGCAGCCGCCATGTTCGTTGCGATGAGGCATCTCCCGTCTGTAACAATTGCGTCCGCCTTGGACGCGAATGCGATGGCGCTCAAGGGCGGATGACCTTCAAGGTCTACGGGCCTTCTCAGACACCGACCGATTCACCGCCGACGAAAAGACGGACAACCTCCAGCCCAGAGTCAAGCGACGCTTCTGCAGTCTCCCCAGCAGGGGAGATGGAAGATGTTGACAACAAGCAACTCTGCAGGGCTATGAGCGCCCCTACAACGCTACCACAACCAAAAACCACGTTCCGTTTCCAGGATCCTATGACGTCGATCAGTATCGCGAAATCGATCCAGCGCGTTGAAGAACGTTATCTCACTCATTTCGTCGATCAGGTATCAACCTTGCTGATCATCTACAACACCGCCCACAATGCCAATCCCTACCGCACACATTTCCCGGACTTCGCCCGGTCGTCTCCAACAATGGCCAATGCAATGCAGGCATTGGGCGCATTACATCTAGCGAATACATCAGTGGGGTCGCAGCGAAATAGGCATTTCCAGCAGGCAATGGGCAAATACGGTGTGGTGGTGAAGGGCTTCCGCGCGCGATACTCAGATCCCAGCCAGCAACTTGGATTAACGGATTTCGCGACGTGCTTGTTACTTTCCTTATTTGAGGTTCGTTTTCCACTTGTGTTGCAGACCTGCCAGTCATGATGAATTAATTTAAATCCATGCAGATGATGGATTCCCAACACCACAACTGGGCAGTACATCTCAAAGGAGCTCGTGAAATCTACAACCTCCTCTTCTATCCGCAACCCGGAGACTCGGCACGTGAAGTACAACGCATCGCCGAGACGAACCACCCGCTCCGTCCATTCCTCGTCTCCCTACTCTCCTATCTCGATGTGGCGGGTGCATGCGCAACTCCCGGCGGTACGGTGGTCGAAGGTGATTACTGGAAGACCATGGGTGGAGGGTGGGAATACAATCTTGGGACGCCGAGTTTATTGTCGACGATCCCCGAAAACCCGCGTCTGGGCGAGCTGCGACAGGCATGGTCAAGCCTGATGGAAGTGCAAGCTTCTATCAGTACGTTTGCATCGGACAAGAAAACGTGGATGACAAGCGATCAGTCAGACGCGATGTATAAAGACATCTTCAACCAGCTAGTTGTATGGCGTGCCATGGCCCCGCCTTGTCTACAGCTGCTCGCCGATCTGGATGACGAGAGCCTTGCTCAGTATCCGTATCCTGACGTTCTTGAGTATGCGGGGTGCATTGAAGCATATGAGAAGGCAACATTCGTTCATCTGCTTCAGGTTGCTGGAGCTGGGCGTGTCGGTTGGATCACTGATTGGACATATATGGGCATCCTTGTCAGTCGGATTCTTCTGCTGGTTTTCAAACTGTCAAAAGATGTCGGCCAATTGGCTGTTCTGTGGCCGCTTTTCATTGCTGGGCAGGAGAGTCGGAGTGAGTGTGAGCAAAAATACGTTCGCCAAACTATGGAAGAGTTGAAGCGGTTTGGTTTCAGGGTATGTTGCAAACGAAGTTCCTCAAGGCCAGTCTGAATGCTAATATCTCACAATTTAGAACGTCGACAAAGCACTCGAGATCCTAGAAGGGGTCTGGCTCAAGCGACGCTCCTTTCCTGGAGGTTGGATTCAGACCTTGGAGGAAGTTCAGACCAATATCCTTCTTCCCTAATGGGAAGTTGGGTCGAGTCGATATCTCCAAGCTTCACTCTCCTACGCTTCTTACCATCCCTCCTCTCTCTACGGCGCCAATTCCCATGTGACATCATCATCATACTTATATTGCCTTGCTTTTTTTTGATACCCCATGACTTCAAATTGAGTCTTTCATAGCTACGGACTTGGTCTGATAGCTTTCCTGCATCGCAACGTTTATATGAAGCAACGTATATAGATCAGATCGTCATAGGTCATAACTCTTCACTCATGCCATATCATCCCAGTCCCTTCTCCTGCCTATATCTATAGTGACAACCCCTTACCCTTCCAATACTTCCTTTTCCATCTTAACAGGGCATCAGCTCCCACAGCAAGTCTTCCGACAGGGGCATCAGGCTCTACATCACCCACATACCCTTGAAGTATATCCATTAATTCCATCTTCGAGACCATCTGCTCATCGACAGAAATGTGAGGTTTGTCGCACAATGCAGCAGTGATCATCACCACAGCGTGGCTGGCGAGTGATTCAGTCCAAGGAACACTCATGGCATCCAAACAGCAAAAAAAGATAAGAGCAAAAAGATAAACCGCAAGAGAATCCAGAGCACGATCATCGACGGGGTTGACACATTAAACCGTGTAAAACCCACACCTTCCCTGTCACATATCTTTAGAGTCTCCCAGCCTGGAGCCGAAAGCAAGACAGCGTGATCAGCGAGCAAAGCCGCCTGACTGAGGGCGGGGATTGTATAATCCGGATTTGAAAAGTATATTACCCAGGTAGCGAGTCTGTTCCTATTGATTCTGTTACTTGAGCAGTCCTGTTGAGTCTCGCCCATGATCAAAGCCAGCAGGGTATATTGGTAGCAAACGCGGTCCACCGCAACGGTCCTATGCGGCAATCCCGTTGCAGTATAAGCCCTGTTGTTGATAAAAGACTCTTTTCCAAATAATGCCAAAGTCAAAGGGCGAGGGGACCTTTGCTTGGGACCAGATCCAAGGACCAGTTTCCGTCCTGGTCGTATCCATAATTCGGGTGTGTTGCTGTGACGTTTTTTCTGGACTTTCAGTGAGAGAGAGGCAAGATAAATGGAATATATTGAGAATCTTGCTGTCCATCGCATCGCGGATATTCGCAATTTCCTAATGGGTTGCTGGATAACAGCGGACCAAACTGGTGTCCGTTCCTCTTGTTAGATAATTGACGCGGAGAGCGTTAATTTATAAACTGCATTGCCATTGCCGTTACCGTTGCCTTGTTCCCTATTGTATTCAGTGGATACAAAAAGACTTTCGTTGATGTCTTGACGGGCTCGCGTGTGTTTAAACGGCGTCAAACTGAGATTCCCCGGCATGCATACAGTAAGACGATAATAGTTTTCCAGGGTATCCGATGCCATATAGGTACGAAAGAACACATTACCATCCGCGCAGCCAGGGAACTGAACCAGCTCGATAGCGTCCCATATCAAAGTGGAATTCTCCGAGGTGCGAATTTTTGCATGCAACATGCCTGTGGTGGTTGCCGCCGGGACCGAAGCCGTGAAAAGGTCAAGGACGACATTCAAGGTTGTGTAAGACTGAGAGTTGACAATCGCTCGCTGACATCTGAAGATCGACTTGGTTTGGTGGATGGGTTTTATACGACGGCTACATGAACCTTTCCTTTCCACAGATACTCCGAGGAGCCTTCGCCCAGCGCAGTGGTTAATGTTGATCGTAACAATGTTACCGCGACACCAGAGTCACTGTCAGATAGTGAATGGGTGTGTGTCAGCGAGAGAATGTCGTGGATTATGTATAGCTCGGTCTGGGGTAATATGACTGTGCCGGTAACGTGATTCGCAAGTAACTGTTGTAGGGGGATGATACCTCCTGGGATATTTAATTAGTTGCAATTTACGAAGAGGATTTCACGACTTCACACGCCAAGTACATGAAGGGCCATTGCCATCCATAACAACGGAGTGCTGAATTGTTTGGGATGTTTCAAGAGAGACAGAATGGTGTTGGGGCTGGACCATCCTCAGTTGGCAAGAGTCAGAGTTTGTCTTAGAGTGAGACGTCCGGTACGATATCTTTGGGCCTGTGTGTGGCCAACAGCCGCGAAGAGCAAACGGCTGATGCCAAAGGCAGTGTGAACACGCTGCTAATGGTCCGAAGGACGCGAGCTGTGCGGTTCCAGCGGTTAATGCTCTTGATAAGGTTTTGGGCGTCTATCGGTAGCTTATCTGGCTCAAGCTGCGTGTTGTCGTGGGAAGCTTCGGGGGGTTGTACAACAGGATGTCGACTCGAGCTGCATATGATTGACCACGACGCAACCATGCATCCAGTATAGAGAAATACGAGTACTGAAACATATATTGACGGCTTAAAGTGGATAGTATCGTCGGTAGTCTGTGAGGTTTGAGCTTTTATTTCACTCTCATGCGTTGATAGGCTGTGTTGTTCGTTGGGATGGTTTGATGTCATCGGTCTTCGAGATTCGTTGGGAGACGACATTGGGATTTGTTTTAAATATAAAGAATAACTGCCAAAAAGCGATAATGCAGTCTTCCTCTTATGTCTTGGGTGAGAGCTGAGATGCCACATCGATTTTCATTCCGTATCATCTGGCAGGACAGCCATCTGTGCAGCAACCTAACATGGTATATAGTATGTTCACATATAAAAATCAAAAGTGTCAAGGGTGTCAATTACTGGGCTTAAGGAGAAATATCACATAATAATATACAACACTTGTTTCTATATAAACAGGATCAAGTTGATGGCAACATTTAGGGCAAGCTATTGCTAATTTAGTCTTAGTCCAAGAGGAGCTCCTCCCAGAGCCAATGACGCTGCCACGTGCAAAAACATCAAAATCAGGTTTCTAATGTAACAGAAGCACATTTTGTTGTTATATAGGAGATTTTATAGCAACTCATCGGATAACTTGTACTCTCATCTGTAGTATATAAAATATAAAGTTTACACGGATCAGACAGCTCCGACATATATACGGACTATTTTTCGGGACTTTTCCGACACTTCTCCGAAACTTAATTCATTTTTTAACAGGGAAAATACCAAAATTGAACTAATAATTACTTATAACGTATATAGTAATATAAATCATGAATCATAGTCACAGTCATTAAATCCACTTAAGCGCCGTAAGAGCTGTGGGGTCTTGGTGGAACAACGTTTTGACTGCGGGACTAACCTTAGAAAGTCTACCCCAAAAACCTTGACCTTGGAAATTTCTGATCTCTCAAATAACATCCAGGTAAACAGAACGACAGACATTTGGGTTCCTTCTTTCTATGTCAGACCCAGATATGGCCTCTACCGACCCTGCCGGTCCCGCCGACCTCCTCAACAATGAAGGTGGTAATCAAGCGGAGCGCAAGGACCAGGATGATGCCGCCTTATTGGTAAGTGCAATCAGGGTCTTTTTTAAACAAACTAACATAATGTTTTAGCGGACATTGGGCTATAAGCCGGTATGTTGAACCATATAGATTAAGATCGATCGGCAACTGACTCACCAAACAGGTTCTTCATCGGACTTACAATTTGTTCGAGAATTTTGCAACCACATTCGGTATGTTTTTCGCTGTTCGTCATTTTATAGGCGCATCCTGACTCTTGTCTAGCTGCTCTTTACTTCGTTGGTGGTGTTCGCGTCACTTTCAGTACTGGTATCGCCGCCGGTGGAAACCTAGCCTATTGGACTAGTTACCTAGTAACCATGGTGTTCACCTTCATCACTGCTGCTGTCATTGCTGAAGTTTGTTCGGCTTCTCCATCTGCCGGGTCAATATATTTGTGGGCCGCCGAAGCCGGTGGGCCTAGATTTGGCCGGCTCCTTGGCTTTGTCGTCGCTTGGTGGAGTACAACGGCGTGGACAACCTTCTGTGCAAGTATGTTCCATATCTACCCCAAAGGCTGGTATGGTGTTAATTTGATTATAGGCAACACCCAGGCTGCGACGAACTATATGCTTTCGGTATGTCTCTTTTTCTTGATTCCTCGGGGATTTGGACTAATATATCTCTTGTAGGAAATAACTGTATTCAACCTCGACTTCCCCTCAGACACAAGCAGTGTCAAATTCCGCGCAGTCCAGTGGATCTGCACTGAGGTTTTGCTTGCTCTAGCCGCCCTGTTGAACTTTTTGCCTCGTATGTACAATTGTCCAACCTTGAGTTACTATGTCTGACAGCATTTTAGCCCGATACTTCAGATATGTCTTCTGGTGGTCCTCCGCAATCGTGATGCTCGACTTCGTCCTGAACCTTATCTGGCTGCCCATTGGCACCGCTCAAACCTGGGGATTCCGTACCACCCACGAGGCCTTTATGACCACGTACAACGGTACCGGAGCCCCGGCTGGCTGGAACTGGTGTCTTTCATACCTTGCTACCGCTGGTATTCTGATTGGATTCGATGCCTCAGGTCATGTTGCGGAAGAAACCAAGAATGCCTCTATCACTGCTGCTCGCGGTATCTTCTGGAGTACTGTTGCCAGTGGGTTCGGTGGTTTGGCTACGATCATTCTCTTTTTGTTCTGCGCGGTTCGTTTCATTTGGTCTCTGTGAATCCCAAATCTCGACTTTCTGACCTAGTTTTTCTTTAGCCCGATACCGACACACTCATGAGCTTCGGCTCGCCCCAGCCATTTGTGCCCCTTTACGCTGTTGTTCTGGGCAAACGCGCCCATATCTTCATGAACATCATTTGCATTTTCGCTTTATGGCTGGTGAGCTATTATCTGTTTGCATGAATATCTCATAACTGACTTTGTTTCCCAGAATACCGCAATTGCTATCATCGCCGCCTCTCGTCTTGTCTTTGCCGTCGCCCGTGATGGTGTCCTCCCCTTCTCGGGTTGGGTTTCTCGTGTAAACAATGGCCAGCCACGGAACGCAGTTATTGTTGTCTGGGCTGTCGCTGCCCTGGTCACTTGCACCCTTCTTCCATCCGCTACGGCTTTTACTTCTCTCGTCTCGGCAGCCGGTGTCCCCAGCGCCGCTGCTTACGGTCTGATCTGTTTGGGTCGACTGTTATGCACTCCAAAGCGGTTCCCGAAGCCGCAGTGGAGTCTCGGCCGCTGGAGTAAGCCGTTCCAGTTTATTGGTGTCTTCTGGAATGGCTGGGTTGTCGCTGTCCTGTTCTCGCCCTACGTGTTCCCAGTCACTGGCGAGAACTTGAACTGTACGTTGTTCTTTTTCTTGTTTCTCATCTGTTTCTGTCTCGCTAACCCTCTGGATAGATGCCCCGATTATCATGGCTGGAGTCACCATCTTGGCATTGATCTCCTACTTCATGATGCCTGAGAGCGCCTGGCTTCCTCGGGAACGCATCACTCACTTCATTGATAGCAAGGGTGCTACTGAGACCGTGGAAGAAGTTGGCTATTCTGACCATGGTGAGTCGAGCACTCGTCAATGATGTGGATGGATGCGAAATGTAGCTACCGGTTCCTGGTTCTGGGTATAGATTGCAGTAGATCGCTTTCGGGGTTAGAATATTACATATTCTAGCTATTTCTAGCTAATATGAATTACTATCAAAAAGGACTATCAAAATATACAAGGCCGCATAAGTACAAGTTGTGCAATGTGGAGAATCCAGGGCTTATCTCCCGCGTTTATTATTGCGGGGGAAGCTATGTACTATGTATAGACTATAGGCTATAGTAATAGGAAATCCAAACATCTAAACATCTAAACATTCAAACAATCTACATATAGACAGTAAATAACCGGAGGGGTTTCATCGCAAGGTAGGAGTAGCCGCTTCCCCTCTTTGCTTGGACATGTTCTGCCGAGAATCGGTGCTTTGACTCAACTTCAATTTCCCCTCCTTCCTCTTCTTTCTTTCTTTGTGCTGTTGCTCTTCAGTCTTTTGAGCCTTTTGTTTTGAAAGCTCTAGCATTGTATCTACCTTTCAGTCTGGACTGGATGCGGTACCCCGGTCCATCTACCCCTTCCTGGGCCCAATAGGCATTCCATGAGAAAAGAAAGATCCGACATAACGTGCAGCTTGCAGGATCACTCGCTATGAGTGCTCCAGTATCCCTGCGGTCAGCCCTACGACCGTGTTTTGGGGCGTCCATTGCTCGCGCGGGGAAAACTTTCCTCCCGGTGACCTCGGGTAAGCTTCTCCAAATCGCGTTGGAGGCCCAACTTGAGCTGATTTCTAACTACTTTCCTCTAATTAGCCTCGCAAATTCGGCAAGTTACATCTTTCACATCGCAAAATAAACGCCCATCCGTTTGCCAGCCGCGATGGCTCTCCATTTCCAAACGAACCGCTACAACCTCGTCTGAGTCACCTCCCCCGAGCCCGTGTCTACCACACCCTACTCAGCTTTGACCGTTGGAGTCCCTCTGGAAATTTTCCCTGGTGAACGCCGTGTGGCAATCACCCCGCAGAATGTCGCCCTTTTGTTGAAAAAGGGAGTTTCCCGCGTGCTCATCGAACACGGTGCAGGCGAGCGTGCTCAGCTACTGGACAATGCCTACGAAAAGGCTGGCGCGACAATGGTCGACCGGGATGCAGTCTGGTCTCAGAGTGATATTGTGTTGAAGGTCCGCAGTCTACAGGCGGAGGGATCATTCAATGAAATCCAGGCTTTACGCAAAGGCTCGACCGTTATATCTTTCATCTATCCCCTCCAGAACAAGCCCCTCGTCGAGGCACTCGCGGCTCGTGGTGTGACCTCCTTTGCGATGGATCGCATTCCGCGAATCTCTCGTGCGCAGACTTTCGATGCCCTTAGCTCCATGGCCAATATTGCAGGTTACAAGGCGGTCCTGGAAGCTTCCAATCATTTTGGTCGCTTCTTGACTGGTCAGGTTACTGCAGCGGGAAAGATTCCTCCGAGTAAAGTTCTCGTTATTGGTGCTGGTGTAGCTGGATTGAGCGCAATCGCCTCTGCCCGCCGCATGGGTGCTATTGTTCGTGGCTTTGATACCCGCCCTGCTGTGCGCGAGCAAGTCCAGTCTTTAGGTGCCGAGTTCGTCGAGGTTGATTTCCAGGAAGATGGCTCTGGGCAAGGCGGATATGCCAAAGAAATGTCCAAGGAATTTATCGAAGCTGAAATGAAACTGTTTATGGAGCAAGCTAAAGAGGTTGATATCATTATCACCACAGCCCTGATCCCCGGCAGACCTGCGCCGAAGCTCATTACTAAGGAAATGATTGCTGCAATGAAACCCGGCTCTGTTATTGTTGATCTTGCTGCTGAGGCAGGTGGAAATTGCGAAGCTACTGTCCCCGGGGAATTAAGCACCTACAAGGATGTTACTATCATCGGCTACACCGATCTTCCTTCGCGTCTACCTACCCAGTCTTCAACGCTGTACTCGAACAACATCACCAAGTATCTTCTCTCCATGGCTCCCCAGGACAAGTCCTTTGGGATTGACTTCAAAGATGAAGTTGTGCGCGGTTCTATCGTGACTCTAAATGGTGAAATAATCCCCCCTGCTGCTCCACCCGCTCCTCCTCCAACCCCAAAGCCAGAGGCACAAGTTATCGCGGCAAAGGAAGAAGTCGCTTTGACGCCTTGGCAAAAGACAACACGCGATGTGGCAGTGGTCACAGGTGCAATGGGTACGACGCTGGCCCTAGGCAAAGCAGCTGGTCCAATCTTTATGGGCAACATGATGACCTTCGGACTTGCTGGTCTGGTCGGCTATCGCGCTGTGTGGGGTGTAGCACCTGCGCTCCACTCACCTCTCATGAGCGTCACTAACGCCATCTCTGGCATGGTCGGCATTGGTGGACTGTTCATCATGGGAGGAGGCTATGTGCCGACTACTATCCCAGAATACTTCGGTGCTGCCTCCGTGCTTTTGGCTTTCGTGAATATCTCCGGCGGCTTTGTCGTCACAAAGCGCATGCTGGATATGTTCAAGCGTCCAACCGACCCTCCCGAGTACCCATGGCTGTACGCTGTTCCAGCTTTGGTGTTTGGTGGTGGCTTCATTGCGGCTGCCAGCACGGGTATGTCTGGTTTGGTCCAAGCTGGATATCTTGTCAGCACAATGCTGTGCATGGGCTCAATCTCTAGTCTGGCATCGCAGCTGACTGCCCGACGCGGCAACATTTTCGGTATCCTGGGAGTAGTCTCCGGTATTCTGGCCTCACTGGCTGCAGTAGGCTTCTCCCCTGAGACGCTGACGCAGTTCACGGCTGTTGCTGGAACAGGTGCCTTGGTCGGAGGGTTGATTGGTCGTCGCATCACACCAACAGGTCTTCCCCAAACTGTCGCTGCTCTCCACTCGGTAGTAGGATTGGCTGCTGTTCTGACCAGTGCTGGAAGTGTGATGGCCGATATTGGTGACATCACAACTCTGCACCTGACGACAGCGTACTTGGGTGTTCTGATCGGTGGTATCACCTTTACCGGTTCGATCGTCGCTTTCCTGAAACTGGCTGGGCGCATGTCTTCCAAGCCGACAATTCTGCCCGGCCGACACCTTATCAATTCGACACTATTGGGCAGTAACATTGCAACCATGGGAGCGTTTATCACAATGGCGCCAGGAAGTCCTGCAATCGCAGCTACCTGTCTAGGAGCAAGCACGATCCTCAGTTTCCTGAAGGGATACACCACGACAGCAGCCATCGGCGGTGCCGACATGCCCGTCGTCATCACAGTGTTGAATGCTTATTCCGGATTTGCCCTCGTGGCTGAAGGCCTGATGCTCGACAATCCACTTCTCACCAGTGTCGGATCCCTGATCGGTGTCAGCGGTTCCATTCTCTCATACGTTATGTGCATCAACATGAACCGATCCCTAGCAAATGTCCTATTCGGTGGAATCGGGACTCCGGCTGCGCAAAGCCAGAAGAAAATTGAGGGCGAGGTCACACAAACCAGCATCGATGACACTGTAGAATCTCTATCCAGCGCTGAGAATGTCATCATTGTGGTTGGCTATGGTATGGCTGTTGCCAAAGCCCAATATGCTCTTTCGGAGATTGTCGCCCTGCTGCGTGCCCGTGGTGTCAACGTTCGCTTCGCTATTCACCCTGTTGCTGGCCGAATGCCCGGTCAGTGCAATGTGCTACTTGCAGAGGCGTCCGTTCCATATGATAGTAAGTCTTGATAATCTTGCACTAATGATCCATTCGCTAACAATCGATGCAGTTGTCTTAGAGATGGAAGAGATCAACGATGACTTCTCTGATACAGATGTCACCCTCGTCATTGGCGCCAATGATACCGTTAACCCTATTGCTATGGAACCAGACTCGGCCATCTCCGGCATGCCTGTCCTCCATGCATGGAAGAGTAAGGAGGTTATCGTTATGAAGCGGGGGATGTCTAGCGGATATGGTATGATTCTTTCTCCGTCATTCCTGATGAATTCATCTAACATGTTTCACAGCGGATGTTCCAAACCCCATGTTCTTTATGCCCGGTACTCGAATGTTATTCGGCGATGCCAAGACCTCTTGCGATGGTAAGTGTCACTTGCATGAATATCTAAAAAAGGAAATGGTGCTAATTCATTTCCAACAGCCATCAAAGCTGCCCTGGAGGCGCGGAAGTAGGCTTCGGCTAGAACACATAGTTCTTTTACGACTGCATGCTATGTTTGAATTGCTACTTGTTTACTGCGAAATCATATGCTCTAGTAGGCTGCTTTATTGCTCTATTACAAGCTCTTGCTGGATGAGTTGCTCTTTTATCTTTCTACTTTTCAGTAGATCGAGTTATTCAACGCACTTGCAATCCTCTTTTAAAAAAGAAAAAAAAGCACTCCCGACCCAGGAAATGCCCAATTCGGCATTTAATGAAGATCATCGTAGTGGAGTCCCCGGGCGAACCCCTAGCGGAGATACTAACAGTCCGTGACGCCGGTTGTGGACTATGGTGGGCACTCAACCAACCTCCCGATCGATCAGGGTGGATCAAACGAAATTTTCGCATTCCACTCTATAGTACTCTATATTGTTCTATATTATACAGAGAACGGAGTACAGCATATCCTCCGAGAAGTTGACAATATTCGCCCTTGTCGCTGTAACAAGGATTTCACCTGCAAGCCCAGCCCGATTCCAGCCTGTCTGGGTCTATGCAGGAACTCATCGAGTACCCCTTGCTAAGCAAGACATCTAACTTTCCACTAACATATGATATCACTTGCATTCTACCGTAATGGGAGACTAGGATGTTTATTTTCATGTACGTTCCCAGGGAGATTGATGACCGTCTACAGAGCATGTAAGTTGAGGATACGCGGTTGACCAAACATAGGATGCCTACTAGTAAGCGTGAATGGAACCGATAAATAGGTTCGTGTATGAATACAAATATGGAACTGCGTCACTAAAAGATGTCTCCATAGCTATGTAATTCAGATCCAATCGCATAACCATAGCCAGAACAAAACTAATAGTTTTCCCAAATCAGCCACCGCGCCAAACATTAGAAGTAGACATTAGCCATCCCAGAATGCGACTCGCTACTGCCACTGGTCGAGTCATGGACCGTCATATATTAGCCGATGAGAAACAAAGGTGACGAAGAAAAGAGAAGAACAAATATCCACCAAAAGAAACCAAAACACCTATCCTAAACACCAGAATAAGAACCCAAAAACCCAAGGAATTCCCCCATAAAAACATTACTATATCAATATATTCCAAGTATCAAAAACCACAAACCAAACACCATCTAAGCCTTAGCATGGGACTTCTTCCCAAGCTTCAACCCCATAAATCCCCTCCCGCTCGGCAAAACACTATTATGCCGCAAATGGCGACGCTGGCTCGACTTCCGCACAAGATGGGAGTCAGCACTGAGAGGCGGGGTGGGCTGTGTAGCGACAGAGATCTGCGATGAAGAGGGACCATTGACGTCTACCGCGGAGCGGAGACTACTTAGCGAATGAACGCTGGATGCGGAGTGTTTTCTTGTCATGCGACGCATCATCAGTGGCGAGCGACTTGTGAGCATATTCGATACGCTGTAGGATGAGGGCACGCGCTTTGATGAGGCGGATGAGATTGAGGCTGGGCTGCATGCTCTAGTAAGGTCGCCGTAGTTGTTTGCTTTGTTGAACGTGGCGTCCTCTACAGAAAAGGGTGTCGATGGGCGGGATGTGTAGTTGATGCTGTTTCCGCTTGTGCTGCGCATTGAGGGGGGTCGACGGGCGCGCAGGTTTAGGGGTGGTGGGATTGGTTTTTCGGAGGCTGGGGTTCGGGGGCGGGGTCTGTACTCTTGGGCTGGGAGTGTGCGTGGTGGTGCTGGGAAATAGAGGACTGAGGGGATTTCGGAGACGTGGTTGATGGTTGCACTGGTTGCGAACTGTGTATCGTCTAGGGCTGGGGTTGGGGGTGGCTTGGGCGCCTGTTTCATAGTACTTCTTTTCTCGGAGACTCGTAGTGACTTGGCTGCGTCTGACGAGCGTGGCAATGTAAGTCGGCTGTCGGCTCTGATGAGCATAGAGCGGTTGCGGCTGCTTTCCCGGGAGCGGGAATGGCTGGGACGGGATTTTGAGGCCTTTGATCGTGACCCCAGAGCATTGATCAAGACCAGGGTTGGACGAGTTCGGGGCTCTGTCATGGTCACTTTCTTTGCGATCTGGATGTCTGCGTCCTCTACTGAAAAGACCGATGAGGGTGAAGTAGAGCGGGACCTTGAGGTGGCTGGCCGCGGTGGTTTGGGCCAAACGTATATCGATGGCTGTAAGAAGGTGCTGGAGGCGAGTTGTGGTGGAGAATCTGACGGTGGCAGTTCGAGAACCACCTGCTCCTCCGGATCAAATACATACGTATCTTCGTCAAAGGTAGCATTGCTGTTTCTCTTGATGGTGGCAGAAGAGACGGGTCGGGTCCGTTTGACTATTGGCGGAGCGAGGATATGTTCCTCCCGGTCAGAATCAGGGTCCAGGGAATTATCGTCGGCACTGAGATATGAATCAAAGATTCCGGCTCGTGAGCCTACAGGCGAGGAAAGTAGATCTTGGGTGCCTGTATCAGATTCCGACACAGCTTCCTCGTCTGACTCGTATCGATCTTGGAGGCTATGTCTGCTCAAGCGATGAAGACTCAGCGATGTAGTCGGTTCGTACATGTTGCCGGCAGTCATATGGTTGTAGTTGGGGATGTAGAACAGAAGAGAGAGTTACTGTTCCCAAGTGTAGGTAGTTCCTGAACAAAAGGTAGAGGGAAACCCTAAAAAGCCCTCGACTAGGAATACCAGGGTGAGAAGGAGACCCAAGGTTATAATAGCAGTCCCAGTGCAAAGGTGCAAAGAAGATCTGCAAATCCACCAGGGCGACAGAAAGACTCTTTAAGGAAGTGGAGAGTGGGACCAAGGAGGCAGGGCATAGATGAAGCCAATATATGTATGGAGTAGAAGGAAAAGAGGCATCCAGGGACTTTTCCATGCCATGTCCTTGCACACGTGTAGAAAATAAAAAGGTTCAAGCCCGAATTTACTATTCTTGCTAAATTTACTAAATTTACTAAATTTATTGGGCTCAGCGCGTACTGAACCTTGAAGTTGATTGGTGTCTCACCCTTGCAGAAAATAGGGCAAGGATCAGTTTCAGCAGGGGGATAACGCGCGATATGAGATTGAAACAGAGAGATTAAAAAGAAAAAAAGATAAATATATTACCTAGGTATTTATGGAGAGTACGGAAAGTATTTAGACCCGATCTGATAGATCAGCTATTGTTGGTCAATGCCCTAATACTCCGCGAGATCTGTCTCAGTTGATTGGACACGTATGCCTATCAGCTTGGGTTTATGCATTAAACCAGAAAGAGTCTTAGGGAAATGAGTAGAAAACAGCGCGATTTCGAGGGTCCAATAAGGGAGATAATTCTCCCTGGAAGTATCATTCCCTCCCCAACACAGGGAATATGTACGCATAAATCAAAAGGTCCCTGTTTTCCCTCAAAAGGTCCCTGGGAAAACAGGAGCTAGGACCAGTCATCGAATCATATCGACTCTCAGTTGCCAAGTTAGCCGCCCGCGATCAGTGGGGCTGTATATAGTTCAAACACGCTACGAACTCCCTTAGCTTCAACCGATTTTTTTTTTCTCTAGCCAGGTACCAGAATGTACTAGTCCTTGCTGAGATGTCAGGGATCCTAGGTACCAACCTTGACCAGGGTGGTTGGGGGCGTAAAGGTATATCCTTCAGGGGCCGTCTACCTGTGAACACTACAGAGTACGGAGTAAAGGATTAGAATGTTGACGCTTTACAACCAACTTGCTGGAAAATTGAATGATAAACTCTCCCCCATATCCTCCTTACATTCAAACATATCTCGGGGATTTTTAAATCTATCTTGTTCATATCATCTATCATATCTGTGGTACTACTGCGTATACCATAAACCTTTTATACCGGCAAGGATTCAATATTTCCAACTCTTTACATCCACTTTCTGCACGTCAAGCTCTTGACATTTGCTTCAACTTAACTATATTGACAGGATAGAGTACCCAGTGGGTCTTACGCTAGAACTATTCGGCACCATAACTCCGTGGACACATCCAATGAGTTTAAAATCCGCCCACGGGAAGTTCATATGTCGATCTTCACTATTAACGACACGGCCACTACTGCATGCCATTGCTTTTGTTTTCTGTTCTTTTCTCAAAGTTCCGTCTATGCTCCGGCAAAGGCCGGCCCTGCATGTTCAGTCTCAAAAATAACCCATTCGCATGGCATCTAAGCAAGGCACTTGTTACTTTCGAGAATAGGCAATGGGCAAATAATCCATTTTCCAGCTTTTGACTTTTTCTCTTGCCTATATTGAATTGCGTCCAGCCCCATTACATCAATGGCTGGGCTTGGTGGTGGGAAACGTGATGGCTGCACCGCTCTTTCTAAAGCTGGGTGGCTGGATATAACTACCTTACTCCTCACCTTGCGAGTTCGATTCCTTTTGGGAGTTTACTCTGGAGGCTGAGGATCTGCTCGTTTTCTTACTCGGCACTTTTCCAATGATCGTCTTGCTAACTGTGTCATAACGTCCGGGGAATATGTGATATGTCGCGTTTGTGGCGTTGCTTGTGCCTTGTCGCACAGATCATGATGCGCGCATATGCTCCACCTGGCAGTTCATGTTCCTGCCTCTGACGCGCAGTCTCCAGTGTGATACTGCACATTGTGCTACAGAGGTTAGTTTGCAAGCTTTATGTTGCCATATCAACAGGCTGGGTATTGGTTTGACTTCCAATTGTTTGGGCGAAATGGATGGGCCTGGGTGATAGATCTCCTCGAGAGACGGTCTGGGTGTATTATCCATTGAGATACAGACTGTGTCTGCATGGGAGATGCATCCCGGACCCCGGCTTTCCACGGTGTTGAAGGTGCTGACAGCATACAACATTGGCAATCAAACCTTGGAAGCAAACATCCCTTGCTGCCCATAGTCAAACCAGCCATATGGCATCTGACCTGCCTATCGTCTCTTACCCAATATCAAGCAGACTATTATTTCAGGAACGAGCATGATTACATTTATCTTGATATAATGAACTAACGTCTATCAATGAATACTTTAATAACAATAAGGGCGAAAGGTACAATCCAATGGCCTGCCACCAAACGGAGGGTGATAACGACAAACATGAACAGAAGAAAAAAAACATTATAAAATACAACCATGACGAGACCGTCGGGGTAATCCAACAGCTATCCCCTGTAGGTTTTTCGACAAAAGTTTCGGCGCAATCCGACAGCTCCGAGGCACATACCCCATGCCTGGGTAATGGACCTGGCATCATGAGGTCATTCATTAAACAAATATAGGGACGCATCACCCAAGGGCAGTCACTCTGCCCTTCTGCTTTGTTTGGCCAGCATTGGATGAACTTTTAATTCAATTGACTCATCCGAAGATGATTCAACAATCAAACTCGTAGGCAATATAATTCTTCCGAATCACACGCTGAAAACATTCAGACGCGACTGTGTTTCAGTTGATTATTTAGGCCTTGCGAGAGCGGGTCACAGGGCCGTTGGAGCGGCCAGTGGACTTGGCGCCGCCGTTCTGGGTACCGGCCGGGGAAGGAAGTTCGAAGTTCTTCATGTCGATCAACGACTTTTGGCCAGTGTTGCGGCGGGGGCGGCCGGTCTTGGCGGTCTTGTTATAGGTGGCAATGTAGAAGGAGATGAACAGGACCAAGTAGGAGCTGATGATGCCGATACCAGCCATGGCAGCGAATTCCTCACCGGCACACTTGCCCATGTTAGGGAGCCACGGGAAGTAGGCAGAGGTGAAGTAGGTGTACGAGGCGAAGTAGATGAAGCCTTAAAAAAAAACTGTCAGCATTCCATTCTTTGCAGGTTTCAGGGGGCCTGAACCACTTACCGACGTCAATGACGAACTGGAGAATCTGCAGCATGGTGATGTACTTCTTCCACCAAATGCGAACGCCGCGAGCGCTCTGGAAGTAGTACCAGTACATAACGACATGGACCAGCAGGTTGATGGTGATGGGAACCCACTGCACGGCAGTGACACCGATAAGCTGAGTGTAGCAGAGGAGGGCGGTGGCACCGTGGTGGTAGGTATGAAGGAAGGTCAATGGCTTCTTCTTGAGGACCAGGAAGATAGTATCAATGAACTCGACGTATTTGTTGATGTAGTTGAGCTGTTCGAGGTTGTGTAAGTTTCTCTTCTTCTATTTGTTCAAGCGCTTCGCAACTTACGTAGTACAGAATGATCAAAGGGCGAGTCCAACCACCCTCCTGATCGCAGATAGTGTAGAAGACTCCGTGTCTCCAGAGAGTGGGGAGAAGCTGCTCAATGAACAAGACTAGCAGGATACCGCTAACGGTGGTCAAAAGGAGGTTGTGGATCATGAACAAGGTATTAAGCTTGAACGCGGGCAACTTCTTCATGATCTCACGACCACCGAAGATGATAATGTAGTAGGTGATAAGCATCATTGTAGTCTCCTTCAAGGTGGACAGAGGAGTCACGCCCTCAGTGAAGTTGAATTCGCTGGCGGGATATCCCATAACCTTCTCGTAGGCCTGGTCGAAGAGGGGCCACAAGTGCACACCAAAGGGTCGATCGAGGGTCGGGACCGAGACATATTTGAGGATTTCGGACGCCATTGTGACAGGATTTGGTGTTCTCTCAACCAAATTCGATATGGAATTGAAGATAGAGATAGCCCTGGGAAGGCAAGCTGTTCTTTTCCTGATGGGCAGTAATGGGACTGCAGTAAACCCCCAAACACAGGAAAAGCCAAACCAAGTAAAGGAAAGGAATGAAAGAGAGAAAAGAGCTAAAGAAATGAAAGTGAAAAAGGGGGGAGAGAAGAGAGGGAAAAGCTGGAGAAATGGGAGAACAATTACTTTTTGCGTCCGGCGCGTCCGTTGAGGGCCCAAAAGGGTTTAGCGTGTCATAAAAAAGGGGAAGATCAGGTTCCGATCGCATCTACTGGAGTATATTGTCCGAACATATGAAACATTAGACGCTTATTAACTATGAGATATATCTTGATTCTCTGATTCTTTGAGAGCAAACCCAGATCATAAAATATGAAGCTGTGTTGTTGAATGTTAGGTTGTCCTCGGTGTGAAGCTATCACATGCTAGTGTAGTCCAATGGCCGTAGCGCATTACACAAAGAAATATATTAGATATGAAATTGCCGAGGACTTATCCAAGCTAACTATATATTTTCAGCAATTGACTATCTTTTACTCTCGATGGCCAATTCATTAGATTCCAGTCCCCGCTTTAAGATCCATATCCGAAGCGTTGCATGGAAAATCTATCTAGTCATTTCCTATGAGGTTTACAACTGAATGCCATTGGAGCATGCAATTAGCAGTAGACGAGCACAAAGGTCTGGAATTTTATACCCTGTTTATGCTAACTTGCATCAATCCCCACAGTATACATAGGATATCCATGGATAGAGCATATCCGGAGAGAAAGACATACAGATCAATATAAACTTTCTTTCATTTCCCAAATTATCTGTTTGGTTAAATTTGGCAGTATATCTATCTAATTCGAAGTTATTGAGATATTAGATTGAGATAATGTCAACTATCTAACCTTGAAATAACCTCAATTCCTGTTCTCATCCAAGGTCTCTCGGAAGCCACCACTCATATATCGAGTCAAATTCTCCTATTCTTGCTGGCTTTGAGGCTTGTATGGTAACATATTTACAATAATTGAATTGGATTGGAGTTAATTGCTCGGATAATCCTTTGAGCTAGTTCCGCAAAAGTTGGATCCAAAATATATACTTCAACATCCAATTACCATTATGGTTTATATTGTAAAATTTGGGATTACAGACTTTTTGAGTGCTTGATCGTGCCATATAAGACAGATAGATATAGATACAGCCAAATCTAAGAACAATATAATATGAACTCGACGGTCATGACCTTAAGACTCGGCCAATGACACGCATCTTGAAAACGACAACCATCCAACCAATCAGCGGCCGCCTTTTAGATCAAGACAGCTGGGAACGGGGCTAATCGGATGATGACTCAGCACCCGTGTCACTGCCTCAGGCGTCAACACCACACCACCCGCAAAATCCTAGAGGCACTTCTCACCTCCCCTTCCCGTCCCCATCCACACCTCTCCCCTCACCATTGTCACTGTCCGGTCCACCGTGGTCCCCCTCCGAAAATGTCGTCTCTATCTATCTTCCGCGTGGCGACCCGCGCCGTTCGCCCTACCGGCTTCTTTAGAGCTCCCCAATTGACCCGGTCCCGGATGCAGTCCCCGGTCACTCTGGCTGCCGCCCGCGCCCACAACTTCGGTACCACCTCCATGCTCCGCTCCGGCCACGAGGATGAGACATACGAAGAATTCTCTGCCAGGTACGCCCCCAATCGCAACCCATTGAAGCCGGAGGAGTGGGATAAAAGCGCCCTGCATCTCCACGTTAGGCGCTTCCCGGAACGAACATCGGCAGTCGTCTAGACGTGATAGGGATGTGTCATGCTGACAATGTATCCCAATGGCAGATTCGAGAAGGAATTTGATGGTGTGCAGGACGTTTTCGAGCTTCAGGTATGACTTATCTCGACTTCACCCGAGGCATATTGATCGGCATGCGATACATGGCATCAGCCACACTCGTCACTCAACATGCGGCTCCTATATCCGCACGAATTCGACAAATAACTAATGCATATCTTTGCAAACAGCGCAACCTGAACAACTGCTTCGCTTACGATCTCGTTCCCTCCGTCGAGGTCCTCACTGCCGCCCTCAAGGCCGCCCGCCGTGTTAACGACTTCCCTACCGCTGTCCGCGTCTTCGAGGGTATGATTCCACAACACCCCTCTCGAGTCACTAGTATCGTTCATTGCTGAACCCAAGCTAACGTCATTTCGTGATTAGGTGTCAAGGCCAAGGTCGAGAACCCCGACCAGTACAAGCAATATCTCGAATCTCTCGAGGGTCTGCGCGTCGAGCTGGGTGTCGCCCTCCGGGAGGAGCTCTACCCCCAGGAGGCGTAAATTCCCATCATCAATTCCACTTTTACGTCAATTTTCTCTTAAACACACAGTACCCCCTCGCACGTTGTTTATCCAGCACTGTTTGACTGGCTGAGGATTAGGTCAGGTAGAAGAGAAAACTGTATACATACTTTAGAGATCTCTTGTGTTGTTAGTGCTGCTGTTGTCTGGAAAAAGGTCATCTGTGCCTTACTTGGTTGGTGCTTAATCTATCTTGATTCCATCTTGTTCAGTCATCCTGCATTGTTGTATTATCAACCGCTCAAGTCAGTCCTCAGTCCTTGATCCTCAATCCTCAATCCTCAATTATCAATTTCCCTACACTTATATTATGGAGGATAATGCTTCCTCATAATGGTAGAATAGCCATATTGGTCCGAATCTCGGGTTTTGTTCCTAAGTAGGAGTAGCCAATATATCACACAAAATGACAACTTCGATAAGCAGGCCAAGAGGCGCCAGACCATAAACAAACAGAGCCTCCAACAGTGACCATGCGCAATCGATAAGTACAATCTAGACAAGGCCCCCGTAGCTCTCCAAGGGACAGCGACGCGCCCAAAAACGTATTTTGTAACAAGCAATTAAACCAGAACTAGGGAGGAAAAAAGGGAACACAAAATCATCAACACACACAGGTATGTGTCCGCTCAAACGCCGGGTACCAAGCCACTGGTTTTCAGTTATATAGTCATAGGTGTAGGCAAGGTGATGCAAAGAATCAAGTCATGAGGCATTCTCCAGAATGACAAGAGACGAGAGAACATATCAAACGAGACACACAATACTTAGTGTGTTCCAACATACTTGAAGTAAGTAGGTCGGCAATCCTCCTTGGAAAGGAAGTCTGCGCCTTGGAAGAACTGGCCAGCTTTGCAGCCGGAGCACTTGGGAGAGTTGGGGCAGTTGAGATACGGGATATGGTTGTACCCGATATCGCGGAACCTAGTGAAGATAAATGTAAGTGAGGGTTATTGAACAGGAGAAAGATTATGTAACATACCAGTGGACGTTGGCGGCATCGGCGAAAAGACCAATGCCGAGGGAGTGGACGGGAGCATCACCCCAGCGTTCGTAAAAGAATCCACCGGCGCGATCCAGGTGCTGGAAGTACGCCTCGTACTTTTCGCCGCGGAAGAAGTCGAGATCACCGATTTCGAAGTTGGACCAGAAGTGGCATGTGGAGTATCCATTGGCGCCCTTGGTGTGCTCGGGACGAGCCACGTCATCTGTAATCCACTCCCACATGTTGTTATCGCTGAGGTACGACGGGTTGGCAGCGAGGAATCGCTGAGTCTCGGGCCAAAGGGATGGGATACTCTGCGGTGCGTCGTAGAGATTGATGGTGAAGCCGTAGGTCTTGTTGCCATCCTCCATGTATCGGAACACGTCGTAGTCGACGTCGCAGAAGAACTTGACATTGGGCTCGATACGCCAGTAGTAGCGGTAGTTTGCGAGAGCAGGGTGCTTGTAGAACATGCCGCTGTTCCAGCGACACATCTGGTGGTAGGAGACCTTGGAGCTGTACTGGATGTCTTGTTCCTCCAACAGCTTTGCGGACTCGCGGAAGAGGTCCATATTGATCCAGCTTGGGACGTCCCAGTGTTCCTTGGGCACAAGTTCTGCATCTGAAGTTAGCTACGGTTCCTCTCATTATAATCAGCCTGCAATCCGTACCATATTGGCACTTGGCCTTGGTCATTGCCTGAGTCTTCTGCTTGAAATCATCGGTGAAGGGGACATCGTTGAAGAAGATATATGGATAATTGAACTTGTTGTTCCATGTTCGCTCTAGGTCACTCATTGTCGAGAGCAGTTGATCCAGTTCCTCATTGCGGACGAGGGTAATGAGCGCAGCATTCGTGCGGGCCGACTTTTCGCTATTGGGGGAGTAATCGTGTTCGTCGGCTCGCCATAGATTCCCTGCAGGTTCTCCGGTAGCTATAAAACTAGTTAGCATGGCACTTAGAGTGTGGTGCTTGTAATAAGAGCTGTGGCAAGAAACCGGGGTCACGCACGATCTACAAGAGGATCCTTTTTCATGCCATGAGCCAACTTAGACCCTGGTTCAGAGGTGCTCTGGTGTAATTGGAAGACAAGAAATAGACAGAGAAGGATGCATGCTGCACCCAGCATGCGAATCGGTCGCGCGATAGCCATGATGGTGGTTATTTGCTTAAAGGGGGAAGATGGTCGGAGAGACAGAGGCGCGGATTAAGAGTGGCCATCATTCCTTATCCGGACTAGCGTCATCCAAGCAAAACATCCGGGTGTCTCTTCACTTTATGCTTCTTCACTTTTATGACGTCTGGAGACATCTCAATGTGATTTATTTTTGATCTTGGATCCGAGCTTATGTCTGAAAATGGCTCTCGCGGCTGATTTAAGTACGCTTGGCGATGCCCTGATCACTTCCGTCGCTAAGATATCACCGGACCAGAAGGTAATACATTGAATTTCCATCATTCTCATATCATCGCGCATGGTGTACTGATACCTATGTAGGGGTCTGCGCGTGTCCAGAATCTGAAGCGTCGTGTACAAGGGGGTCTTCGAACTGGCTCTCATACGCGCACCGACCAGTTTGCAGTCGCCAAGCAACTTGAGGGACTACAGGAAAAGTTTCAAATCTTGAATAGAGATGAACTTGCCGAAGCCCTTCACACACGCCTTGTGGAGCTGGAGAGCAGTCAGAACTCCTGGCTCCCAGAGATCCTGAGTCTCTTACTGCAACTCTCAGATCGCCCCGCTCTTTTATCTACCGTCAAACGTCCAGAGGAAGGTGCCAAGGCACCAGAACCAAAAGAGACTCTTTCTTGGTCGGATCTTAACGCGGATGGGACGGCCTTCAGTGATGAAGAAATTTGGGAACAGGTAGACTTTGCTGGCGACTCGTCAGATGACGACTTTTCATCCGTTGCCAGTGATGTATCTATCCCAAAGCATAGGCCCCAATCCGCCACGACGGTGGACGATGGTTACACTATTCCAGAGGACGTTTTCGTTCCGGCAGAGGATGAGAATCTTGTTGCCTTTCTAGAAAAGGCCCAATTTTGGAGAGCGGAGAATCAAGGAAATGGCTCAGCCACCTCGCGACTTATCACAGAGTCCCAACTCGCTAGAGAGACTATCTTTATGCTTCAGGGCCTTCCGACGTCCATTTATGTATATTTGGACGATGAATTTGGAGTGGATCGAAGATACATGCTCGCACATTCATCCAGGGAATCCCTGGCCTCGCTTTTGCAGTGTTTCAGCGAGATAGGCGCCAAAATCAACAATTTACGGTCTTTCACCAAGCTCCCACAGACAATTCCATACATGCAAACATTCTGTCGGGGCTTAGAAGAGCGTCTTCTTGAATTTGATAGAGTCTTATCTCAAGTTCAGTGCAGATACCTTTCCGCTGGGTCAACTGTCAGTCTCATCCAGCTCCTTGTTGACGTTCGTCAACACTCTCACGAGCTAGTATTGCTCGCAGAAATGATCTTCAAGCTAGGCAAAAACTCGACTGATCAACCAATGTGCTGCCTTGATTTGTTATACAATTTAATATGCATGTTGGAAGCCCTTGGTGACGAAACTTCGTCCCAACGCCTGGCCGAGCTATTCTTTATGTGTTTCAAAACGTATTCAAGCTCAATTCGACTGTGGATGGAAACAGGCCAGGTTGATTGTTCGGACAGCACTTTCTTCGTGCGAACCAATCGTGAAAATGGGGATCTACGAACTCTTTGGCATGATTGGTTTGTGCTGGATACGGGCCACAGGCATCAGAGGATTCCTCAGTTCCTCGAAGCTGGTGTGCAGAAAGTTTTCACGGCGGGGAAAAGCATGGTGTTTCTGCGCCATCTGAATGCACCACCAGACATTGAGGCCATGAGATTTGAGGACCTCTATTCCCAAGACTCTTCGGTATTACTTCCTTTCCCCGCGCTAGTAGAGTCTGCTTTTGAAAAGCTCGTGGATGTGGATCATTCACTCAGTGCTAGCCTATTACGAACAGAACTTGATCAACAATGCGGATTATGGACATCTCTTGATGCTCTTCAACATGTTTATCTCGCTAAAGACATGAGCGCTATCAGCATGGTTGACGCCAAAATCTTTGAGCTGATCGATCGGGGTCGTTCGTGGGATGACAGGTTTCTGCTCACTGAGATATCAAGGACGGCCTTCAGTTCAATATCTGTCATTGACACATCAAGACTCCTTGTGCGGCCAGCTAGTACTCCATCTCGGATTTCTCAAAACAATCATCGAACCGTGCGGATTCTGGAAGCAATCTCAATTGATTATGGCCTTCCGTGGCCTATTGCGAACATAATTACCGAGGAAGCAATACACACTTACCAACGGGTCTCGACCTTCCTGATGCAAATCAGGCGCGCTAAATATGCTATTGTGAGACAGCGTATTCGCGACGCCCGCATCACTACACCTGACGACAATGACACATTGCTGCACGCTCTACACCATAACATGCTCTGGGTCCTCGATTTGATCTACGGCCATCTGACCTATCTTGTGATCTCCACAGCAACCCAATCTCTACACAAAGATTTATCTGGCGCACAAGATGTCGACGCTATGATAGCCGCCCACCAATCATATATGTCCTCTTTGGAAGCCCAGTGCCTCCTCTCTAAAGATCTATCACATATCCATGACGCAATCATCAATTTCCTAGATCTGTGTGTTCATTTCGCAGATCTACAAGCCGCGCACTTGCTCGGCGACGAAGACCAACATCTGGAGAACTTGAAGGCGCCGCAGACAAAGAGAGACTCTGAAGACGAGTTTGACTCCGATGATGATGAGGACTACGATGACATGAATCACGAACACACACTCACAGTCTCATTCCGTGACTCGACCTACAGCCAGCAAATGAAAACTGTCAATAATCACTTCAGCTATCTGACCACCGTCGTCACAGATGGACTGAAAACTTTAGCTCGGGCAGATGGACTTGAAAGTTGGGATATTCTTGCCGACAGGCTCGAATGGAGACGAAATTGGCGTAGGCTTTGATACATGACACAAATACCCTTGTTTTAGTTCTAGGAGTTGGCGTTACTTAGCTTAAGAATTGACACTGGGCAGTGGAAGATGCAATGCCTTTTTTGACTACATAAATATCTGCCTCAAAATAAAGTAGCGCTGGGCGTCCACCCGATTCGGAAACTCCTTCTTGGTCTGGGACCGTTGACATGGACACACCCCCGTTGAATTGGACACCCATAGCCCGGATCAAAAGGAAAAATGATACATTTCCAGGTATGCGTAGGGTGGCCAGTCTTACATGTCTGATCTGCTCTATATTTTGTACTTATTCTTTACAGGCTTGCCTAGTCAGGGAGTTAGGTACTCTAGATGTATAGGGTACAAAGGTATCGCTCGAGTGCGAGCTAGAGGTTGCTTGTCCTGCGGAGACGTCATGCTCAGTCGCAGGGCCTACAGGTAGGAAAGATGATAGACGACCCATATGGAGATAAAAAGCAATGAAGCATTGGAAACCACGAGGTATATACAGTCAGGAAGCTGCCTGGACCATCTGCATGGATAATCTTTGGCTAACAAACAATCCATTCAGGCCTTGATACATCATCCCAAGTGCCTCGCATCAGGAAGCCTTCATCTGGTAACTCTGAATTATTTAGAGTTATAGCATCGATGTATCCCGGGGTAATATATCGCCCATAATGAACTCCATCTTCAGTTGCCTGGAGTGACACTAATCCACACGCGGTCACTGTATGAAGTATATGACCTTGGGGCGACCTCAAGATAATTCCATAGGTCTCGTTCAAGTTGAGATCCATCAGATCGTTCGTCTCTAAATGCAAGACTTTCGTGCCTGTCCCAAGGCCGTCCGGACCAAATTCGGACTCATTGGCCCACTGCTCCAAATCTCTTTGTCTTTGGTCAGGATCAGATTTGTTGGCTTTAACCAGATTGAACATCTTGGAACATGGAAAGATCAATGAAGAATACAGTGTGATCTGGATCCCCCGAGGCGTGATTTTTCCGGCATTATGGATAAGTTGACTAAATACGCGCGTATATCGACATACTTTGACCGCCCATCGCAATCCATCTTCTTCGAACCGTAGCCCATCGAGGAACAGCACGTCTTGGGGAAACTCGTCTAGCATACTGTATAATGTCCGCATGCGATCATCGGCCTCCTTTACCTCGAGAATTTTTCCGAGATCAAGATTCAGGAGACCCGCTAGGACGGTTGCACGGTCACGGTCTTTGCTGGAGGCTCGTGTAGCCACATTGAACCAGGTTCGAGCAATTACCTTGCCTTGGGTTATACCAATCAGGACATAGCGGTCGAACAGGGATGCATAGTTGGTGGCGTATTGAAAGTACCAGTACCAAGCATTTACAGCGGTCGTGGCAACTCCGTCTTGACAGATGGGTATTTCTCCTCGGTCAGCCTTATTCAAGAGGACATCTGGGATGGTACCAATGTTGACTGCCTTGTCAGACAAAAGGACATATAGCTTGTTCTTTGCAGCTAGGCCTTCTTGGAGCGTCCATAACCGGCGAATCCAGCCTGAATAGTAGAGCACTCTCAGGCAAACTTCCAATTTAGTAGACGAGGACGAGTCGAGTAGCATAAGCCCCGAATCAAGAATCAGTGTCCGAGAAGCTAGGATCAGTCAGATTAGTCAAGCATGGAATTTACTTGTCACGGCTCGCACTAACCACTGGTATAAACATCACGGATGCGCTGAATCGCCAGACTTCGAACGTCACTTTGATGTGGGATGCATAATGTATCAATCCACACCAGTACAGAATTGTCTCTAATACGAGCTGTACTGACTGCAAAATGGGCAAGTCGAATAGCCCCAGTGTGTAGTGGTCCATATGTCTTTTCATCGTAGTAAGGAATATGTTCCTTATCTTGGAGGAGGGGCTTTGCTTGTTTGTAAAGAAATCCCAATTGGCAGTGTGGGAGAGAGTTACCACGAGGGTTGCCTAGTCCGTCAGCCCATATATGAGAGATAGCTACATATGGCTTGCCAGTGCGTTTCTTCACGACTTTAAGCTCATAATGCTGGTTACCGAGCTCGTCACTAGAAGGTGTGATCATCACAAGAGGGATTCCTCCGCCCTGGAGGATTGTATGTAACTGTTCAATGTCTGAGTCGACTAGCGAACAGCTACAGCCTTCTTGCACATGGCGAGTGACATAGCTACTCTCATCGATGTTATCCGCCACGCATTCTGTCATCTTACAAGACTCATGGGTCCTGTTGTTCCACCTGGCTTTGCTAGGAGCCAGTTGCCGCAGATACGCCTGCGTGTCCAGTTCAAGACCAGCAGAATGACACTTCTCTGTATCCAGGGGACACCATCCCTCCCTAATCATTTGCCTCGCCTCTTCTCGCGTGAGAAACCACAGTCTATAACCACGAGGGTCCTCCTGGGGGCCATCTCGCTTGATCACAATTTTCCAGAGAGTAAGGCTAACGAGCCGAATGGCGAAGGACATCTTTTCACGTATCCAAGGAATATATCTGGGAAGATTTTCGAGGACTTTCTTCACAATCTCGACGGATCGTGCCCCGAATTCGTTGTTTTTCCAGTTGTCAACATCCTCAACATATTTTTGCAGATGTCTTGTTGTGATGTACTGATCGCCCTCTTCCTCACGGAGAAGAAATTCAGACTGGTCCAACTGGTCGCCGAAGATATAGTGCAACATGCCAAAGTAGAGCCAGCACTCCATCATGGATTGGTATTCCGAAGGAACGGCGTCTGGAGGGAAATTCTCTGTTCCAGATTCGTCTAGCCAGCCACAGCGAGTGGGAAACGTATCCCAATCGCCGCCATCATATAGCGGACCGTCGTACTCAATCCGGAGGGGCCTCGGAGGGTTGTCAGGAAGGAACAAATGGTCCGCCATTGTGATTTTCTATCTCTTCTCAGAATGTACAAGAGGTCATGAGAATGGGATTTGACCCCACGTCAGCCTGGAGGTTTGCTTGTGCGCCAAGCAGAAGGAGCTGAAATTGGATACGACGCCATACCATGTGAGGTATAGCTCGTGCATACTTCTCCAAACCCGGAGTGGGGGGTCTTATGTAGTCCATAACTGGAAGACCAAGCTATGCCCTTCCACGTTTGATTCTCTGGAAAGTGCATCCTAAAGTATTCCTTATTGTGACGTTGGAGTCTGGGACTGTGATGTAGCCGAGGGCAGTGTAGGAAGGGAAGTTAGCACTTATTTCATGCCCGAAATATGAAACTACATAGCCTATCTTGGCATGAAGTCCAATTCAGCCGCAGATAAGAAACCCGTTTAAAACTCTCAGCTTAGAATATTAGACGGGAAAGAGACAATAAACTTAAAAAAAAGGAGCTTAGAATATTACTCCACGCTTGATATTATGCTTTGAATTTTAAGTACCATATACTGATGTGAGAAATCATTTTGGTTCTTTTTTCCCGACTCCAACACAGAATATGTAGACAAGAACTCAATAGGAAAAAGAAAACGGTTAAAAAAGCTTCGTAAATAAGAACTAAACATTCTAACCAACCCAGCGTCTAGCGCTGTAGAAGACCCGTCCCCAAGGGCCAATATCGCCCCAGGACGCGGCGTTCGGAGGCAACCAACTGGCAATACCGTTCATGACGGTACGCTCAGGGTGAGGCATGATGGCGAGGACACGGCCGTCGGGGCTGCGCACACCGGCAATACCCTCGGGACTTCCGTTAGGGTTGAAGGGGTACTTCATGGTGGGCTTGAGGGAGGCATTGTCGACGAATCGGACGGGGGCAAGACCCTCGCGAACGAAGTCGGAAGCCGAGACGCCCTGGGAGCCGGCGAAGGAGGCACGACCCTCGCCGTGAGCAACGGCAATAGGGAGCGAAGTGCCGTCCATGCCGTGGAAGAAGACGCTGGGGCGGGATGGGTCGGGGTCGGAGATACGGGCCATGCAGACACGGCCTTCGTACTGCTCGCTGGTGTTGCGCTCGAAGCTGGGCCAGTAGCCCGCACCGGGAATCAAATCCTTGATACGAGACAGGAACTGGCAGCCGTTGCAGACACCCAGGGCGAAGGTGTCCGGACGCTCGAAGAAGTCCTGGAACTCCTTGCGGGTGTTCTCGTGCAGCAGAACGGACTTGGCCCAGCCCTGGCCGGCACCCAAGACGTCACCGTATGAGAAACCACCGCAGGCGGCGAGACCGGCGAAGCTGGAGAGGGAGACACGGCCGGAAAGAATGTCGGTCATGTGGACATCGACGGCAGAGAAACCGGCGGTGTTGAAGGCAAAGGCCATCTCAGCTTGACTGTTGACACCCTGCTCACGGAGGATGGCAACGCGGGGCTTGTTGGCGAAGGGGGAGTATTGGGAAAGGCTAGTCATCATGGGCAAGCCCTTGTCCTTGGGGTCGAAGGTAGGGTTCCAAGAGAGACCGGGGTTGGCGTCATCAAGGATGTTGGCATACTCCTGCTCCGCGCAGTCTGCGTTGTCACGGATCTTCTGCATGTGATAGGAGGTCTTAGCCCAGATCTGCTGGAGGCTGGAACGGGTGTTGCGGTAGATCAACGAGGCCTTGTGGTAAATAGCAAGGTCCTGCTTGGGCTGTTGAGCAACACGTCCAATCTTGTGAATCAGACCCGGAGGAGGACCGCAAGTGGCGAAGGCTGAGCGGAACTGGATCTCGTGCTCCTTGCGGACCTGGAAGACGGCACCAAGCTCTTCGGTGAAGAGGCATTCAATGAGATCCTTGGTGTTGAAAGAGGGACAGATGTTATCGAGCATGATCTCAACACCACAGCGACCGGCGAACATCATTTCAACAAGGGTGGTCAGAAGACCACCGTCGGAGCGATCGTGGTAAGCCAAAACAATTCCGGCTTCCTGAAGTTGCTGTGTAGCATCGAAGAAGTCCCGGAAGAGATCAACGTCGCGAATGTCAGGGCACTCGGAACCGACTTCGTTGAAGACCTGAGCCAGAGCCGATCCACCAAGCGTTTTGCGACCGAACGAAAGGTCCACAAACATGAGAACGGTCTCACCAACTTCTTCGAAGCTACGAAGAGCGGGAGTCCAGGTCTTGGTGAAGTCACCAACCGGCGCGAAGGCAGAGATGACACAGGACATGGGAGCAGTAACTTCCTTGGCCTCATTTGAGGCCTCATCCTTCCACTTCATCTTCATGGACATAGAGTCCTTGCCGACGGGAATGCTGATGCCAAGCTTAGGGCATAGGTCCAGACCGACAGCCTCCACAGCTTCGTAGATAGCAGCGCCCTCGCCAGGGTGGCTACCGGCAGACATCCAGTTGGCAGACAGCTTCACGTGGCTGAGACGATCCACAAGATCGGAAGCAGCCAGGTTCATGAGCGACTCAGCAACAGCCATACGAGCAGATGAAGCTGAGGAGATGAGAGCCAAGGTAGGCTTTTCACCCATCGCGAAAGCTTCACCGGTCTTCATACCCTGGGCCAAGGCAGTGGCAGTAACCGAGACATCCGATACGGGTGTCTGCCACTTGCCAACCATCTGGTCACGGGCGGTTAGGCCGCCGACAGTGCGATCGCCGATGGTGATCAAGAAAGACTTGGAGCCGACTGCAGGCAGAGACAGTACTCTCTTGATAGCCTCATCAACAATCTCAGTCTTCGAGGTGAGAGAGGGAAGATACTTGCTGAGGCTAGAATCCACGGCGGGCAGCTTCAGCTTGCGCGAATCGACAGTTCGGGTCATGCGAGGAGTCTTTCCGAAAAGCACAGACAAAGGAAGGTCAATTGGGGCAGGGTACTCCTTGGACTCTCGGTCAAGGAGAATGAGTCTCTTTTCCTCCTCGGACGAACCGCCGCCACGACCGACAACGGAGAAGCCACAGCGCTCACGCTGAGCGATAGCAGTGAACTTGTTCATGCTCTCCTCACCAACAGCCATGACGTACCGCTCTTGAGCTTCACAGCACCAAATTTGCATGGGGCTCATGCCACGGTCGGTGTTATCGATTTCACGAAGCTCGAACGTAGCTCCCAAGCCTGAGTCGTGGATCAGCTCAGGAAGGGCGTTGGACAAGCCACCAGCACCAACATCGTGGATGAACTTGATGGGGTTGTTGTCTCCCATGGCCACACAAGCGTTGATAACCTCTTGAGCTCTCCGTTGAACTTCGGCATTGCCTCTCTGAACACTGGCAAAGTCGAGCTCAGCGGATCCCTCGCCAGAAGCGATACTGGAAGCAGCACCTCCTCCCAGGCCAATCAGCATAGCGGGCCCGCCAAGTACCACAAGGAAAGCACCGGGCTTAACAACATCTGGGTGCTTGATGGCGTGTTGGGGGCGAACGGTTCCAACACCACCAGCGATCATGATGGGCTTGTGGTATCCACGCACTTCCTTTTCACCGTTGCCCACGTCGATCTCGGTGAGCAGAGTGCGGAAGTATCCACCAATGCAGGGACGACCAAACTCGTTGTTGAAAGCAGCGCTACCAATGGGTGCCTCCAACATGATATCCAAGCTGCTGGCAATGTGGTTTGGCTTGCCGACATCGAGCTCCCATGGCTGTCTCAAGTCAGGAATCAAAAGGTCTGACACACAGTAGCCGGAGAGACCAGCCTTGGGGCGCGAGCCTCGACCGACTGCACCCTCATCACGGATCTCTCCGCCGGATCCCGTGGCCGCACCAGGGTAAGGTGAAACGGCAGTGGGGTGGTTGTGGGTTTCAACCTTGGCCAGGAAGTGAACAACTTCCTTGGTGTGCATCCACTGTCCAGTAGTTGGATCGGGGGCCCAGAACGCGGCCTCGGGGCCCTCCAGCACGGCAGCATTGTCACTGTAGGCACTAATGGTGTGCTCGGGATTCTTCTTGTGTGTGTTGCGGATCATAGCAAACAGACTGTTTGGCATGGGCTTGCCATCAATCACCCAGGAAGCATTGAACTGCTTGTGTCGGCAATGCTCCGAGTTGACCTGGGCGAACATGAAGAGCTCGACATCGGTAGGGTCACGGGCAATTGCACCATTCGGACCATAGGCCTCAGCCAGATAATCAATTTCTGAATCATCAAGGGCCAAGCCGAGCTCCGTGTTTGCCTCTTGGAGGATCTCCTTGGGGGACTTGGTACCGCCCTGGAGGGAAATGGTCTTGAGGGGTTGGGGAGTGTGCTCGGAGAACATGAGGCTTAACTCGGGCTCATCCTTGCCAATGATCTGAGTCATCCGATCATGGAGCGTATCCATGTACTCCGGCTTGTAGTCCTCCGCACTGTTACGAAGACACGAAATCTTCATACCCCGTTCGATCCGCTTGACGTACTTCTGCAGGCCACAGACGTGCGAGATTCCCGTTGCCTGAGAGCTCCATGGCGAGACGGTACCGGTTCGTGGGAAAATGTAGAAGGTATCGAATTGACCGTCGGTGGATTCGAAGGTAGGAGGGATGTCTGTGATATCGCCGTACTGAAGCAATTGTTCAAGTACCGCACGCTGGGCCTCGTTCAAGGGCTGGGTGGTATGCACATAGTGAATCCACTGGGCTCGGACATCCTGGACACCGATGCTGGTAGCAATAGCATGGCCTCGGGAGCGGGAAAAGGCAACGGAGCCTAGGATGGTCAGATATGTATCGGTAGAAGTCATCGTGAAGCAGATTGGGGATTATCCCAATTAGTCAAGTATGACACAGGAGGAAGTAATTCTCCTGGTATAGAAGATGGCTCGAGTGCCTCTCTCAAGTAGACTTGAGAAGATCGCTAGAAGAGGCCGGCGATGACTCTATCGCCGCTTTTTTTTTGGTCAGAGAAATGAGTTTCCCCCGCCCTAAGCCAATTGCGGCTTATCTTGCTGGGTCATGTGCCGATAGCGGATTTAAAGTTTGACAACAAATTCTTCACCTGAGGGGCAGTTTCATTTTCTTATATAATCATCT